CCTAAGGAGCCCGGGCGGGCAGGTGAGGAGTGGCTGGGGGGGGGGGGGCAAGTAGAGGCTGACGAGGCGCACCTCGACATGAGTGACATGAAGTTGGCCACACTCACTCAGTCACATGACGACCACCTTGCCACACCCACCCAGCCGGTCATTAGGCAGATCATATTAGTGGTCCGCAGGATTTAAAATTATGAATTTAGTGGTCCCTGAGGTCCAAAAGGTTCGGGATCCCTAGACTAGAAGACCTCCTAGGTCCCTTCCAACTGTTATCCTGTATTCTGATCACAGCCTTTTTCTATTTTCTCTCGCACTTAAAGGTAAAAGTCGATGAGAGCCTGTCTCTGGATCACGTAACTCGAGGCAGAGCCAAGATAGCCAAGGGCCGTCGTCCACCTACCAGAAACCATTTGAAAGAGGTAACAATTGGGGTCGCCCCCAACTAATCAACGTGGCTTTATATTATTTAATCCAAATACTCCTTTTGTCATTTGTTCAGCAACATTGCTATCTGCTTTTGGTCCTCTTTATGTTTTGCTGTTTTTCATCACGGGAGGGAAGGGTCACACTACCCACCTCCAGCTAATATGGATCTTTATGACTGGTATGATTATTTGACATAATCCCACCTGCATGTGGACATGTCCATTCATTATTTCAATTGCGGTTGCATCCTAAATGTAAATAATTTGGTCTTTACTCACATTTGGTATTTCTTAGCTGCGTTTGTAACATAAGCTTCTTGCCTTAAAAGCCCCGATTATTAAAACACCCTAAAGAAAACCAACAGTAGGCTGGGAAGAGAAAATTAAATATTAAACCCAGAACAAGCAGAGGGCTGAAACAAGATCGCTACAAACTGGTTCCGCACTAAGAGAGGAACTGAATGAACTTCTTAACCTTGTGGGAGAGTTCCGTAAGGTGGGCCTAGCTAGAGAAAAGTCCCACTTTTGGGTCACCATCATTTAGAACCCTAATAGTTATAAACTAAATAAGATTAATGTCCCTAATATGAGGAGAGGAGAAAAACATGGATGGATGGATAGATGGATGGATAGATAGATAGATAGATGTAGAGAAAAAGAGGAGAGAGAAATGGATGGATGGATGGAGAAGAAAAAGAGAGAGAAACATGGATGGATGGGTGGATGGATGGATTAATGGATGGATGCATGGATAGATATAGATAAATAGATAGATGTAGTGAAAAAGAGAGGAGAGAGAAATGGATGGTTGGATGAATAGAAGGTAGACATACATACATACATACATAGAGAGAGAGAGAGAGAGAGAGAGAGAGAGAGAGAGAGAGAGAGAGAGAGAGAGAATGAGAAAAAAGGAAAGAGAGAGAGAGACAGACAGACAGACAGACAATGCCCAGATTCAGTCTAGGCCTAGAACAATCTAGTTCTAAGCCCAAGGAATTCTGTCCAGCTCAAGAGAAGAGAAGAGCTAGGCCCAAGAAGTCAATCCTAAGGTAAGGAATGAAGCCAACATTCTGGCAACTGTTTCCAGGAACATGTGATCGTATTTGGACTGCAAAACTCCAGATGACCACCAGCAGGCAGCAAAGAGCAAGAAGTCACTGCTGATCTGATAGCCATCTGGATTTCTTTCACCCATGACTTAGATAAGGTAGCCTAAGGAAAGGATAAAGTTAGATTTCTGCTCCTTTGATTCCATGTATGAGTCTTCCATGGGGCTTCTTGTTTGAGCCACTATGAATGTAAGAGAATCTCTTGACAAAAATGTAATTCTTTAAAAAATGCATGATAACAATTCTGAAATTGCAGGACATGTAGGGCGTTTGACACTGTTTTAAGTTGTTTGTTGTTACTTTGTGGTCAGCAGCTTAAATTCTTCAAAGGTTTGGACTTAAGCACTGATTTTGAGATCTCTCTCATTTGCTTTCCTACTTAGGTGGCTAGTTCAATGTCAGATGGGATCCTGAGACTTGACTTAGATGTATCAGACGGTGGACCTCCAGACAGCATCCTCGTGACCAGTGAAACTCCTGAAACTTCTCCTCCAAAGGAGACTCACAAACCTCCAATGCCTCCTGTAAAAGTGCCCATGCCTCCAACGGAGAACCTCAGTGCCAATCTTACCCCAGAAGATCCACAGGTCAAGAAGCTACCAATGCCTCCAGCTAAGCCTCTCAAGGAAGTAGCAGCACCCGGTGAAAATGTGAACTCTGTAGAAGGAAGCGACGCAGAAGAGGAGAAACGTGAAGACTCTGAAGAAGTCGAAGATTTGGTGGACCCTGAACCTCCAGCACCTCCTCCAAAGATTTTATCCGACAAAATGAAGGTGGGATGGGATCATCCAAGCTCTGAGCTTCATGACGCTGGAACAGAGACCACCTCTGGATTAAACAAGGAAGCAGCCAAGCCACCGACTCCTCCTCCCAAAGTCTTTAGAAACAGCTTGATCTCCAAGGAGAACGAAGCACAGGTAGACATTTCCAAAGGGTATGAGCAGCCTGACGGAGACTCAAACCTTGACATCAATGGCATTGATGACAACGGAACAACTCAACCCGCTTTCCAGAATGGGAAGGAGCAGGACGACCGTTCCTCAGAGCCAGCCACAAAGAAAGAGGAATTGAGACGGCCTTCCGAAGACCAGGTTGATGTCACAGAGCCTGTGGGAGGTTCTCCGGCAACCAAGGCTCGCAGCTCCTCTCTAGGGACCTTGCTTTCAGAATCGCCCAAAAGGGCTCCTCGGCCAGATTTCCAGAAGTCGTCTATCCTCCACGTGGTGCGGATGGAGAAGAAAATTGCGGATGAAAAGGAACGAACTGAAAAGCTCCTGCAGAAGGTCCAGTGTGAAGAGCTGGAGCAAGCCCAGGAGGGCAAAGGACCCTCGGTCGATGCAAAGGAGCTGCTCAACGAAGCCACCGAGCAACTCCGGCAGGCCTCCCAGGTCTTGCAAGAGGTCAAAGATTTGGGGGAACTGAGAAGGGAGCCTAACAGTTTGCGCAAAGGAGTCGTGAAGGACCTCGTGACTGTTTACAGGAGAAGCGTCCCTTAAGAAGGAATTGAATTCTGAATCGTGACTTAGACTAAAGGGTAGCCATGCGGCACCATTTCTACCCGGCTACTAGATCAGTGTTTAAAAGACAGATGGGTAGGGCAGCAGCCTGAGTCTTATTAAGTGTTGCTTATTTTCACACTGCCCCTTTCGTAATCTCAGAATGTGGGCAGATCCTGCCGGGCGGGGTGTGTGCTAGAGAGGGATCTGGTGAGAGGACCTCAGGGAAAGATCTGTTTTGGGGAAGACAAGTGGTAACTGGAAGCCATAGGGACTTCCTTCCAGGGGTGCCTACTGAAGCATTTCAAATGCGGAAGAGTTTGAGAAAGAGCTCTTGAAGCCTTTCCAACTTGGTGGAAAGCTCTTGCAAATTCAGGGCAGGAGCTTTGTGGTTCAGGCAGGGCCCTTTTGAGCTAGCTAGGAGGACATCGAGTTGGAGCAGGGAGGTTGGATTTCCCGTGCAGGCTGGAATATTTTGGGTTAGAAAAGTTTTGCACAGTCCTGGTTCCTGTTCTTCTGCTTCTCTCTCTTTCTCTCCCTCTCTCTCTCTCTCTCTCCCTCCCTCCCTCTCTCTCCCTCGCTCCCTCGCTTCCTTCATCTCGCTCTCACTCTCCATCCATCTCTTCCTCTCTCGCTTCTCTCCCTCCCCCCTTCTCCCTCCCTCCCTCCCTCCATCTCTCTCCCTCTCTCTCACCTTCCTTTCCTCCCTCTCTTTCTCCTTCCCATTTCTCATTTGCAAAGATTGCAGAAATGGCTGGGTATGGAACAAGGCTGCAGTACTTTCTAATCCTTTTTGTTTTAACTCAGGGTTCAGGTAGTGGGGCACATGGGAGGCGGGGCTGAAGCGAACAGTGGGTGGGCTCTTCTTTGATATCCTTTCTTTTCTCTCTCTCTCTCTCTCCCTCTCCTCTCCTCTCCTCCTTTCTCTCTCTCCCCCTCTCTTTCTCTCTCTCTCTCCCTCCCTCTCTCTCTCTCTCTCCCTCTCTCTCTCGTGATGCTCCCTTCTTCCCCCGTCACTTCTTTTTCTTGAACGGCTCTGTTACAGAAAGCTTTCCGTTCCAGCTCTTATTTATTTGTCCCAAGCCACGGGTGGGTCCTTGCAAGGGGTGACAGTTTGTGCATCCTGCAGTTAAAGACAAAACCGCTTACCACCAGGAGAGCCAGTGATGTTTTGGTGAGGCTCCCAATATGTAGAATTTGCTGACGATGGGTGGATGTTTAAGTCTGCCCTGCCAGGGATCAAACTGAAGCTACAGCATCAGATTGCAGATCTGAAATGGTCCTAGTTCGTACATCATCCGCTCACTTGGGGTCGGCTTAGCATGTGGTGTGTTGCTTACCTCTGGCGGCTGATTGAACAAACGACGGTTTTGCAAAGTGTGCCTTACCACAGCGTGGAAACCCCATTAAAATCTTCAGCAAGTCATAGGGAACAAGATCCCCCCCCCCACCTCCCAGGTTGACTTTCCATTGATTTGTGAAGACTAGACCCATCATACCTTGGAGAGACTCCGTATAAATCTACCACAGATTCGGTTCATGCGAAATTTCATTTGAATTGGGGGGAAAAATACCAACTGGACTCATACGTGCTCAGATTTCGTATAAACACAGTGGAGAGCATCAGTCTTCCCCACCCCACCCCTGCAGAATGCAGTGCCACTCATGTTAGCAACAATATTAACTTTGGGGAAACGATTTTGCAATTGTAGGGCGGGTATATATGCGTTCCCATGTTTCCTTTGGTTTTGGTTGAATGTTGCTTCTAAACTGGCTGATAGCTAAATGCATATAAGGGCCAATGCATATTTATCAACAGAATAGATCATGGCTTAGGGCAGAGGTCAGAAACTTTAAACACTCAAAGAGCCACAAAGGTCCTTACTGGAAGCCCCCCATTCAATTCTGCAGCTGAACAGAAGTCTGGTTTCCCCACCATAGAGTCTCCTCCTAGCATGGCGTCCTTTTTCCTCTACCTGTGCTAACCGAAAGCCCTATCAATTATGGAGCTGCCCCGAAAACCCGCCCCTTGCCATAGTCTCTCCTCCTGGCATGCCTTGTTTCTCCCCCAACCAGGAGCTCCTTTCAATATTGTGATGCCAACCGGCAACAGGGAGCCACAGCAGAGGGATGAAAGAGCCACATGCGGCTCCAGAGCCATGGGTTGCTGACCCTTGGCTTAGGGTGAGGTATGAATTCTGTTGTAAGCACAATCCCTGCCATAGATAACTGTACTGTAACTTTTTTACTTGTGCTCTTAATAAGCTTCCTTGCCAAGATCCTCTTTTTCACTCGATGGCTTTTTCTGATGGCTTTTAAAACTCTGGTGACGGCCGTATTTTTACAACCTGGAAAATTAGTGTATGACTAATATTTTCCTATCCTTCAGATGTCATTTAAAAAAAAAGAAAAGAAAGGGCGAACATAAAATCGGTACCCAATAATTAAATAAGCGGCTAAGGAAGAAACAATTGTGAATCGGGACAGGATGGAAATAATGGCACTTAGCGCATTTGTGCTCTGGGTTGATTTCCTGAAGACGAGGTCCTTGGAGACCTCGCTGAATTCATCACAGGACTCTTCCTGCAAGAAAAAGTAAAAGGAGGAAGATGCGTAAGAGGAGCAACAGTTTTCTTCCTGTTATCTAAGGCAGTGCAATTAGGACCGTGTCATCCTACTACCATGTTTCCCTGAAAATAAGACCTCGCTGGATAATAAGGCTAATTGGGCTTTTGAGTGCGTGCGCTAAAACAAGCCCTCCCCTGAAAATAAGACCTCCCCAAATATATTTAAACGCATGCGCAGCCGTTCCCCACCATTTCCTCTGGTTCCATGCAAACAACATGAGGTGAGGAGACAAGGCCGGAGGGAAGGGGAAAGGGAGGGGGAAACATGCCCCATGCACCCTACACACCCTTAGCTAATGGCCGCTCCTGAAACCCTAGTCACCGTCCCTTCGGTCACGCTAATGGCTGCCGCAAAAAGAGCGGCAGGCCCAGCGACACGCAACACAGCAGCAACCATGAGGTGACCATGCTAGCCGCCTCCTGAACCTCAAAAATGATAAGACCTCCCCGAAAATAAGGCCAGATGCTTATTTCGGGGTCAAAAGAAAATAAGATCCTGTCTTATTTTCGGTGAAACATGGTACATCTGGGAGCCGCTTCACATTGGTCTGGTTTGCACATTGTATTGAGACATGCAAGCAAACTCCTTGTCCCAACAAAAACCCCTTTTATTAATTTGCTGTGAATTCTGCTCATTCACATCCTGCAAAGTCTTTCAAGGGAGGATTTACAGTCACAGACCTTCTCTGGCTTGGAGAACTGCCAGGCTGATATCTGCAAAACTTGGCAAGGAGTCTCAGAACCAATTAAGTGAACTAATAGTCTCCTGCAAACCCCACTCCCCTTTTGCTCCTCT